AAAAAAAAAAAAAAAAAAAAAAAATATATATATATATATATATATATATATAAGAATTCTGATTAATGATCTACCCGAAGAAAATCCTTCGATCTGGCAACTTTGCTGGTCAATTTGAATAAAACAGTGATTCTTGCGAACTTACACAACCCCAATATGAGCCCCCTGATACATATACATACGCGTGCTTTTCTTTCTTTTTAACTGATACGAGGTATCGCATTCGTTTCAGTTAAACTTCAATTCCCATCATGCCAATCGCAGGATCACGAGCACAACGATGCTCGAGCATACAAAGCAGCAGGTACACAAGTCTGCTCGAGCTGCTGTAGTGATGCTCAGTAACGGCGATGTCCGAGCGCTTCGCACAGTGCTGGATGATGGGGGCTTCGTAACCAAGACCAAGCAGAGGTGATTATTGCCCTCTTTATATGTGAACGTTCAAAATAGTTTGTTCGACGCTGTTTAACGGACTGCTCCAATTCTTGGCAAACTGGAAAATATATAAACTGTGACGCTGATATTTCGCTGCGTTTGTGCAACAGTGCTCTTCAGTCGCAAGGTGCGTGTACGCGCTCACAAATGGGACATTTTGGGGCACAGCTGAGAGCTTCAAAACTGCGCCTGTACACTTCATAGTGCTTAATGCGATGGGACCCATCCTGCAGGAACGAACTGCGTCTGCGACACTGAGGAAGGTGCCAGGCAAGGAGAAGGTTAGAATGAAAAATGCAGAAAACACTGGGATTGTTGCCAGGTATGCTTGAGTGGAGCAAATGATTAAAACCACACAGAAATAACAGTCACTAAGAACATGTGCTTTATTTGCAGCAATAATAAGAGAGGAGGACATGTGAATCAGAATAAGAAACCTCTTAAAAAAACAGTGCCCTTGCATCCAGGGCAAGAGAAGGATCCTCTGCCCAAAGCCGAAATTGTAAGTTACATATGCAGCATTAAAATGCATCAAACATCCTGCTTTGGCAGCTATTTGAATATGTTTTCATGATCTTTCCAAGGTCCAAAATGGCATTAAACCAAAGAAAGCTAAGAGTCCGTCTGGTGGCACTTGCAAGTTGCGTGGGTGAGTGTTGCTTAACATATGGAATCGAATGTATAAGTAACAACAAATAGTAATAATAAAATAACAAAATGAAATAAAACAAATGGATATAAACATTTTCATTGCAGAAAGCCATGATGTGATAAATATTAGGGCTGGGGGATTCACAAGCTCTTGATTTGATTCAATTTGATATTGATTCATTTAGTTATATATCAGGAGTTTTTATATGAACTTCTTAGTGATAAAATTGTTTCTACTCCAATTTGTTGCTGAAATTTAAACGGTGACCGTCATATCACAGATTTATTCAAACATGCGTTAAATAAGACATCACTAATAGGTAAAAATGTAATGAATATTTAATATAATGCATATATTTAGCACTATATATGCTCCTCTCTAGAGTTATCTACAACATACCTTATGATGGTCATTCCTCTAGCTTTTATTTCACCATTACCATCAAATGTACATGTACATGACTATATTATACTGTTGTGAATATATGCTTATTAATGCAATTGTCTTCGCTTGCAGTAGAGTCGTTCACAGGCTGCACTCATAATAAAGATCTGCTTCATCACTTATAAACGATAATATATTTCTGAGTTTTGTTTCCTTAAAGGTGACATATCATGAAAGTCTGACTTTTCCAGGTTTTAAGTGCTATAATCAGGTCCCCGGTGCATCTACCAACCACGGAAACTTGAAAAAGATTAACCCAGTAACAGACGAGCACAGAACACTATTTAGAGTCCCAGCCTCAGAGGAGACAAGAGCAGTGGATTTATTGATTTATTTACATTTAGTCATTTAGCAGACTATTTAGCACTCTTTTTATCTTATTTTCTTATCCAGAACTCTCTTCTGTCTTGTAAAGTATTCTGTTACTGTTTTGATGTGTAAACAATTCAGTGCATGAGTGAACTGTCCAAATGAATCAAACTGCATCACGAACATTTCCAGACCTTTTTGGAAACCCGTTTGACTAATTAGTTCAGAAACGAGTGATTCATTAGCGAATGTGGCATCATAAAAAGGGTCTAGCGACACCCCTGGCTAAAACTAGTAGGAAAAAGGAAGAGCTGATTAGTTCACAAGCTGCTTGAACTGAGTCAGATGCCGGGATCTTTTACGCCACATTAAAGAGGATCAAAATTACATTTTACTTTTCAAATTCTGATACAATTGTAGTAACGACAATCACTGGATGGGAGACATACTATAAATTATCTTTAGTGATGTTTTGTTCATGCATCAACAGAATTAATCTTGGAATTTAAGAATGATATCAGTTTATCAAAATGAAAGTCAAGTAATCAGTATTGTTGTCAACCCAGCCCTAATAAATCTCGAACTATTGCTGCAGCACACAGGGTGAATCAGACCTGAGGCCTCCACGTCCCAAACTGTCTTGTCCGGAGCGTGGACAGGAGAGGCAGAAAATCCAACTGGAGCCTCAGTGCTGTAAAGAGATGCTACAGAGCCACATGGCCTTGGAGAAGAGCCGTCGTGCTCTATCGCTGCCCTTGGCTCCTCAGCCAATGCTGCAGCAGTTCCCCTCGCAGAAACAACTCCCAGACCTGGACTCACTCCACTTCCTGGAGCACAAGGAGGATGACACGGACAGCGCCAGTGACCTGTCCGACTCTGAAAGGCTCCCTGTGCTGCCTTCCCCCTGCACTCCTCCTCAGCTCAACCTTCGAGCCGAAGTAATCAACTCCATGGACCTGCATCCCCACATACCTGGACCCAGGACAGTGGAGAACAATGAAGTCAGCTATAGCTACCCAGACTTCCTGCCACCTCCGTTCAATACTTGGAGCCTGAGGCAGCTCGCCATCTTCCTCAACACGGAGGGTAAGCGGGCTCCCCGGCCGAAACCCGTAGGGCAGCTAGAGAAGTATTTAGAGCGCCTCCTCCAGCTGGAGTGGCACCAGATCCAAACCATTCAGGCTGACAGCGGACGGCACATTGTGCCCATCATCCGAACAAGAGGTCAGTCTGCCAGTGTTCTGGCAAACGGCAACCGGCCTAGGCCTCATACTGCTCCTCCAACACGCCTCAGCTCCCCGAAAAGCTTTCGGCAGGGTCAGCAGGCCTTCTTCTCTTCAGTGGCCAGCCCATCGTACACCCAGCTTTTTCGTCCTGTCTGCCCCCAGTGCCACATCCGCTATCCACTCTGCAATGGCACTTGCTCTTCGTACGCCTACCAGCGGCATTCCCGTCTCAGCCCCCTGCTAGAGCGCAAAGCTCCCCCTGCCAACACCCAAAAGAGGAGCAGCAGCGAAAGCCGGGCTTCCACCTCCGAAAACCGTGCTACTTTGAAAAACCAGCTCCCAGTCAGTCCGCAGGCAGCAAAGGCTCATCAGAAGCACATGCAAGCTGTGGGAAATGTGCGCAGGGCGTCTCATGAACTTAACACAAATGGCAAATCCCATTCTTCTGTCAGGAAAGGAAAGACTGGAAGGTCAAGACTTTAGTCTTTGCAACTTTAGGGATCTTATCTATTCACGAACAGCTTGTAACACTCCAAAGAGAAAGGAAAACTTGAAATAGCATCATATGACCCCTTTAAAACATCTTATCCCTGCAGTTAACTGTAGTTGTTTGTGAAAAGGATACAAGCGCGGCCACATTTAGCATTTTGGCTAAATTTCATGGTAAAAAAATGTTCATTGTCTGTTGTTAATAACTCGCACACAATTCACTTTGAGGTTTCTGTCGGTCAAGCCCATTTTGAGCCCGTTTTGAAATGTGCATGGGATCGCATGGATTCCTGTTGAAATGCTTGGATTTTGCCCATCAAAATTTGCCGGATAACTACAAATGTGACCGCACCTTAAAAAAGTATCCTTCTCTTTAGAAATCATGCCTTTTCATTGTCATTGTTTCAGTAGAACTTCAAAGTGCATTTCTTGAATAAGATATATTTATTTTATCTGCCTAAGTATACAAAAGCAGACTATCTTTACTTACTGTACACACAAATCCTCTATAAAATGAAATAAATGTACTTAAATCTAGTGTGCATGTACATCTCTTATTTGAGGGAGGTATGGCTGAGAATGTCAGATTGTAGCTCTTTGTCAAGTAAGCACTATTGATCAAAGAATGTATATTTTTGAGATGAATAATGAATGTTTTGTAATGACTGTATTTTTGTAAAGTGCTATTTACAAGGACTTCTTTTCTCATTATTTATTAAATCATTTATCAGTTTATTACAATGAGTTGACACTTAAGTTAAATAAGAATGTTTTGGAACTCATTACTTAGGTTTTCAGTAAGTTAGATGTCGTTGAATTGTGAATTGTTAGAATTGCTTATGGTGGTTTTGTGGTGCGGTTTGTGTTGGAGACGGACCTGAGCTATAAAATGTTAAGATATTATGGTCCAGGTTATCTGTTTGTTTACTTTTTGAGAACTTTTCAGGTGATTACATTAACTTTCATTTCTCTAAATATAGCATTTTTTGTTTATTTTTACAGAAACAATGATGGTAGTGGTTTTGTAGTTTTATATGTATAATGTATTGTCATGGCACTTGAATACGACTTGAAAGTTGGTACAGGTTGAGGTCATACAGTACGTGGTACCACATTTCCATACTTGATGCACAGTATGTAGCACCATTTCAT